GGAGTTTATTAGAATGGAATCAAACTGATGTAATCCTCAGTAACTTCACCACTATTTTACAGTAAAGGCAGAACGTGACTTCATACAGTGATTTCTTGTATCGACCTCTCATAAAAGCTGAGCACCTAACATTAAAATGCAGTTCAGGGAAAGCTCTTTTATAACAGACTCTGATAATGTGGTCCAAGTTATGGCGTCTTCTTGTGGTTTAGCTTCCTCTAAGGAAAGGACTCATTTTATCTACTTGAGTGAATGAATGGCTAATTCTTCAACAGCAGTTTCCAAACATCTGCCTGCACACATTAGCATCACCCAGGGGAGCTAATAATATGAAAATTTCTGAGCCCTAACCCCAGCTCTGTAGGTCTGAGCTGGGACCCAAGGACGTCTTCCCTTTAAAAACCTCTTTAGATGATTCTGATGTATAGCCAGGTGTGGAAGCCATTCATAGGTAATTTGCCCTGAATTTTATTTCTGTCAGTTGGCCTTTTTATATGACGTGGTTATTAGAGAGAGTTGTAAAATCTGCATTTGTGTTGGACCTAGAGTGAAAATATTGCACAACAAAAGGAGTCAATTTTTAAGAAGGTTATTAACCAAAGATGTCTCTAGAGTAGTTAGATTCTGGAATATATGCCTAGTGAGAGACAGTTGACGGACTGTTGAAAAACAGAAGTGAAGAAAGGATAAAGGGGACACAGGACCACTGAATTTAAATATATGCAGAGATTTTTTAGAAAAGCAGCAAACTTACTGTATACAGTTTTTCAAGAGCAAAGTTATAGGAGTGACTTATGAAAGTTACATAAAGGCAGATGTCGGTAAATATTTTTAAAATAATATTCCAATAGGAAGGAGTTTTTAACAATAGAGTTAACTATCTCAAAGCTGATGAATTCTCTAGTTTTAGATTTGCCTACAGTAGAAGCATGAATGCTAATGAACAAGTTAACGGCTTTGACTAAAGTGGTGACACATTTCAGTCTTAGAGTTTGAAACCCTCTGATATTTTTCTATATACATGAATTTATAAATAAGTACATGCAAAGTAAATGCCAGGTTAACCAGAGCTCTGGAAGTGACGTTGAACAGCAAGGTGAATATTAGTTATACAGGATAATATAACTAAAATTATTTAAAACCCTCAAGAACATTAAATGACATGACAGTGTATATACATACTAAAAGTATAATAAGCTAGAATTTTATTCTATAAAATAAATATATTTTATATTTCACATTTTAGGAAAAAAAGAGTCAGCCTTTATTATATTATTAATTCTAGATTCCTATGCCTGACCTTGCTGTTTTTATCTGTATTTAAATATAATTAAATTTTAATTAAAATTAATTTAAGCAACTTCAAGGAAATAAAATAGTTTAGTAATAAAGTAAGAGTTCAGCTTGTGAATCTAATGCTGTGACAACTTATATAGGACAGGGCCGTGTAAAGCCTTTTTTTATTTAACCTGCTTACCACGTAGAGTTGTTGTGAGGATCAAATGAGTTAATGCATATAAAGAGCTTAAATGAGTCCCTATCATATCATAAATGCTCAATAAATGTTGTTATTATTGCTACTATTATTGATGAATAGAGTGACTTTTTTTTATGATCATTACATTTGTCATGGTATGTGGCACAGAGAAGGTTTCCTGTATTTGTTCATTGATTACACCCAATCACTATGTAATGATTTGATGTCATAATCATCAGGGCTTCCCAGTGAAGCCATGGAACACACCACCATTTCATGTATTTCCAATGCAGACATTTCTTGAACTTTTTTCCAGTAGTTGGGCTGTTGCTATTAAACAAATTCTCGTATCCCTGTTTAAGAACATGTGTTTCCTGAAGAAGTTGGTGGTGGCTAAATGAGAGTACTTCGCCTGAAATTATTTCTGAAATTATTTTGAGTTTTGAAAGGACTAAAAATTAAAGGAATGGGAGAAGAGGTCAGATAATTTAAAGTAAGAAAAGTGGGATATGGAATAAAGATCAAAGTGAAAAAATGATATTCTAAAAATGTGAAGTAGATTTGCCAGACTTAGGAAATGAGCTATATTAGAAATTATGAATTTTCAGTAGATACAGATTTAATACCTGACAGGTAATGGGAGGTGATGTCTGGAAATGACAATTCGGGAATAATTATCTCAGGTAAAGTCACAAAATTGACAGCCCTGTCAGGTCAAGGGAGAGAGCAAATGTCTTAGAGCATGTTCATCTTTGTCAGTGAGGAGTAAGAAATCCTATTTGCTAGATTATCTTTCCAAATACCATGCTATTCATCCATATTTTCCTAAATGTTTCTTCATATTTCTATCAGTTTTGATGAAGGGGATGAAAAAGTTATTTACAAGATTTATTTGCTTTTCTCACTCTACATGCAAAAGATAGACTAAGAAGCAATCATATTCTAGTATTAAAGTTGCCATGTGAGTATCATATTGATTTAGTTTCCTTTTTTTGGTCATATTTTAGGAAAAAGAGGCCTGTGACCTCTGGACAAAATAAAGAAATATTCATTCAAAATAGAAAATGAAAGGTGTGTATTTCTCATATGGCACTTTAATATTTTTACAAAAGTAACAGCCCATGTAATAACACATTTTCATATCTGATTAGCTCCAGTTTTTCTTTAACTTTCTCGGCAGGTGAATCAGTTGAAAAAATAGTTACAATTAATTGAAAGTAATGTCTGAAATTGTTCATTAATGCTTTTCCACGTTTCATTTTCCCATTTTGTTTTATCTATTTAAAATCCACTTAAATCCCACCAAGGAACCATTGTGGGACCTCTCAGTAGATATTTATTTAGCTATTGGGCTCCCAGATGAGGGAGGAAAATGAATACTTTGTGGGGAAAAGACATACTTAGATACATAGAAGTACCCTAAAATCATTATTCAAAGAGCTGTGGTTTTGTGATAAAAATAGAAAACAGAAAACTCTTAGTTGTAAAATAGCTCTGGAAATTATCCTTACAAATAGCATCAATTTCCTCCTCTGCTACCAAATTTCATTTTTTTTATCCTGAACATTTAGAGTGTGGACAACTATTGTCTGACAACTATGTCTTACTCTTATACAATGTGGCAATATGGCACGGGGATGTGAGTTAAAGACTAATGCTTACAACTCAAAATATTCTAGTTTAATTTTGTGGCTCCTGCTACAACTGACAGTGAAATTATTTATTTGCTCAATACAAAATACTTCACAGATATCAGGTAATTTTGAAATGATGAACTGTGCTTCTAAGAGGAAACTCCGGTATTTCACAAATGAAGTTTGTAATTTGGGTGACATTATTCTTTTTTTAACTTACAAAGCACCAGTCATAATATATGACATGTGACTATATGACATGACCTAAAGTATGTGGGATTCGGAGCATAGTTTCAGTCCAACTGTAGGCACCAGAAATCTAAGCTGGTATTATTAACTGTTGTTTTCCTGTTTTGTTGTTGTTTGCTTTTCATATCTAAATAGGTTTACATTTCTTGACATTCATCTTGTTTTACTGAATTGCTTTCTTAAGTTAATCAAGACCATTTTTAGTTATTTGCCTCTCTTTGAGAGAGTTAATATACATGTTTAAGTTGATGTTATTGCCTACTAAACATTACTAAACAGTCCCTCACCTCTCTTTCAATTAAGTCAGTGATTGCTTCTTATGATGGAGAGACCACAGGCAGCCTAGCTTGGGAAAAAGCCAGAAGGTGAGACTAGTGGTTTTCAATTGGTTTATAAAGCACATAAGTTAGCTGTGAGGGGTGTTGGAATTCTTTACTAGTAGAAATGGAAATTCTAAAAGCCATAAACAATTTTGTCTTTAAAATAACCTATGTTAGTTCCAAGATTATTCCTGTAACACTGTCATTCTCACTTTTTGATCAATATGTTTTCTTTAGTGGAAAATAAAATGACTGGGACTTTTGTTTATGCAACTGGAGCCTATGATGATGTTTCAAACAGAAACACCTTCTGTCATTATGGGTCAGGGAGCAAAACAGACTGAATCTGTGGATTGAGACCATGTTTTTTACCTTGTTGGAAATATGAGACATCCTTGTGGTTTTTCTCATGTTCTCTCTAATTACTGTAGTTTGTCATTCCCAAATTAGTTTAAAACAAGAACAACATAACAAAAACACCTTGCTCTAAATCTAAAAGAATAAGCCTTCTAAGCAGGCTTCAGATGTGTTTACCTAAATATTCAAGTAGACATGGGTTGGTGAGAAAGAAAGACAGCTAGAGATAGAAGCCTGGCAGAGTCTGCCACCCAGGCCTGCCCAAGGGTGCTTCCTGTAGAGAAGTTGGGTACTCAAGAAGAAGTGAAAAAAATTTTTTTTTGTACCCAACAAGCCAAAGAGGAAACTGCCAATTTCTCCTTGCTTTTAGGACATGGTGACCCTACTAACTACTGAAAACGTAACTGTTAGTGAATTATAGTTGGGAACAGAGAACTCTCTCACAAATCTCCCCTCTTCCCCACCTCTGGCACAGGTATGGATGGGAAAGAAGTATTGAGCCAAAGTTTCTGCCTCTAGAAACTTAGTTAGAAATACTAGAAGAGGTAGAGCAATAATTTTCATTCTCTAAACCTTTTGAAAATGAATCTCATACAGCATTGTCCTGCATGGATCTTCCTGGGAGAAAATGGAGATGGCCATTATGGTCAAATGAAAGGTGACATTTTGAGAAATAATCCCCTACATGTTTAATTCATGTAATCCCTGTCTACCTCAAGAACTTCTTTTCCTTAAACTCTTTTCTTCTTCTCTCCCTCTTCCCTTTCCTTGCCCTACCTCTTGCTTCCACTTCCCCTTCTCTCCTCTCTTTCTGTATCTTTAACTTCTCCTTTTCCCATGGGTAATTCCTCATCTAGCATTGTACCCATAAGTAAAAAAGACCAACTTCCCTTCATTACACCCTCTTTTCTCAGTTCAGCTTTCATCTACGTTTGCAGCAATTCTCTTCATTCTCTCTTTATTTTCACATCACGTTATTTCTCTTCAACCCACTGCAGTTCCACTTGAGCTTCATCTCCTTTTCCTTCTGCATAATTCAAAGTAAGACTTTAGACCTCATCCTATTTGATACCTCCCTCTGATACACTGACCATTGCTTACTCTTCTGGCAGTTCCTTACTTCTTAGTGGATGGCTTTTGTTTTGCTTTATTTTTGTATGGAATGAACAAGTTTTTCCTTGCAGGTTTAGTGGCAGGAAATTTCTGGTATTCTAAGATTTTCTAAAGTTGTGTTGAATTTGCAGGCAGCACATGGTTTTTGGAGAATGAATGCAGGTTAGTAAGTAGATAAAAAAGCAAATGAGAGAATGAATATGTAGGGAATGATAGCAGATATAAATCCATAAGTAAGTAAATTAAGTATAATATTTTTTAAATTGCTGAATGGAGAAATAAACTGATTATGTTAATAGAAAATAATAGCTCGAGTAAAAAGAAGTTAACTGAACATGTTGCCAAAATTTTGGAAACAATATGAGAAACTTAAAGAATCAAGTCTGTTCGTATTCTGGAGATATAAAGGATAATAATGGGGTAGATTGCAATGATTAAGAAGACCAGAGACTTGACTTCTTACCTATTATTTTGTTTCCTTATTAGTCTTTGAAAAATTTGTTTTTCCAAAATTTAAAATCTCTCATTAATCTCTGTAGTGAGTCTTTATTTTATCACCTTTATTTTAGAATCATAGCCTTTTCATATTGTTTTGTGAATAATTTCCTGGCCTCTTCAGGGGAAGGTCAACATTACTCATTGCTCACTGTAAAAAAATGGCCAGCTGGTTTCCCTTGTCTTATAATTAGGAATCTACTTCATCTATCTTCCATACCTTTTGAAAGCAAAAATTACTCTGATGAAGCTCCTGAAGCTTCCCTGAATGCACATTGGTGATGTAACAGGACCTGATGGTTTGTGATTAGTACATCTGGCTTTTCAAAATATCAATGTTCACTTTTCCCTTCTGGTGTAGAACTTTCACTGTTCCATCTTCACCCTATGGGTAACAGTCATCATGTTCATTTGTTCACTGATAAATTGACATGAATATACAAACTTCCATATAAAATGAGTTTTAAAATAATATTCTTCACCTTTTCCTCTTTTAGAATTTGTGAATGGAAATGAGATCACTTCCAAAGACCTCCTTTGAAATATATATTTGAAGATATTTTTATCAATTGCATTTTATTTGTCTTGCAAATGAATCATTTGTCTTTTTACCTTTCTTTATTCTTTCACTTATAGAAACCCTTTTTCTATGTACCAGGATCATATGTCTTGCATTTCACATTTTATAGTGTTCCACTATTGTCATTGGTCTTAAGGTCACTCTACACTTCTAGTTTAGCCAGCTCAATATTCTGATGTCACCATTGTTCTTCTGTTATGTAATATTTGGTGAAGATGGTTCTGGTAATACTAGAATCATGCTTAAAGAACACTGAATTATGTAGGATTATTTGAATACTTTCAGCAATATACCTATATCAGGAAATCAATGGTATTGAAACATGTCTGAGGGTGCTGGACTCTGTAACTTCACAGCTGATGTTTATCAGCTTCCATTCACCTTTTAAATATTAAAGACAGCTGCCTGGCATGGTGGGAAGGACATTAGTTTTAATACCAAACCAATCTTGATTAAAATCCTGATTTCTTAAGGTATCAACATTTGCCATTTATCATTGTAAAAATAATTTAACCTCTTAGATCCATAGTTTCTTCACTGGCCAAGTAGGACAATGATATCCTCTCGTAGGGTGGTATGAGGAATACTTGACATATGCTGTGAATATTTTGGTACATAATACGTATTAAATAAATAGAAGTTCTCCTTATTTTTCTACCCTTTTTATAAAAATCAGAAAAAAGGATATTTTTTTTCTCTTTACCATTAAGAAATTTCCCCATATATAATTACTTTAATGTCTTATTTGATAAAATATTGGTACATCAGATATTAAATAGTATTTCACTGATTTGAAGCAGTAAGTGAATATTAAAGAGCTCTTTCCACTAAATGAGTCATATTCTATGATGTACCGTTTTTCTTGTTCAGAAAGAGTGAACCTTACTCAAACCATGTGAATACAAATTTGGTGAAATTATTGAAATCATAAAACTTCTTGGTCATTTATTTATATTTTATAAATACTTTATAGAAACTTGCTATAATGTGACAAAATATTACCTAAAATCTGTTTTAAATCATTGTATTTTACCATGTTAAAATAGTTACTCAAGCTTGAAGTCTATAGATTTTCATTCTTTTTATCTTCCTTATTCATTTAACAAATATGTAGTGAGTTGCTACGACATGTAAGACACTGTTCTAGGCTCTTGGCATATGTCAGTGATGCAAAGAGACAAAGATCTCTGATCTTGAGAAGTTCATATTTCAGCAGTGGGAGACGGTACATCTCAGAAAATAGTAGTGCAAGGTGAAGGGTGCATGGAAATATTTAGATGTGGTGAGGGAAGAAGATTGTAGAAGTAAGTAGGATAATTAGGGTAGGAACCATCAAAAACTGACAATTGAGCAAAGACTTGAAAGAAATAGAGGTTTAGTAATACCTGTATCAGGAAGAGCATTCCAGACAGAAGGAAAGGTTGGTGCAGAGACTCAAGGCAGGAAGGTAGATGGAGGGAGTAGTGATGGGAGTACTGATGCTATCCTAAGGACTCTGACAATTCCTTATGTGTAAAGTAGGGAACGATTGGGTAGACGTTGCAGGACCTAATTCATCTTTCAAAAGAGTCACTCTGACTGTTGTGTTGAGAATAGACTCCAGTTGGAGGACAATAGTAAATGTTGGGTGACCAGTTAAAAGTCTATGGTGAGAATTCAATGAGAGACAATATTGGCTCAGGATGGGGTGGCAATAGTGGAGGGGTTGATAAGTGGTCAAATTCTGCACAAATTTAGAAAATGCATACAGTCTGGTAGATAAGACACAGGATGTAAGAGAAAACTAGGAGTCAAGTCTAAAGTTTTTGGCCTGAACAGTTAGAGAAATGCAGTTATGAATAGCCAAGATTGAGATGGCTGCTAGTAGAATCAGGTTTAGGGAGAAAGATGAAAAGTTCATGTTAGAAATGCTGATTTTGAGAGGTCTATTAAATACCCAAGTAGAAATATTGAGGAGGCAGTTAGATGTCCGACTGGAATTAAGAAGAGAGAATCAGGCAGGAAATGGGAAAGTTGCATGTATTTAGGGTACTTTATGGCTAGTGTCATGTTGAAGAATGGTGTGAAGGACTGAATGGGGGTTGTAGAAGGAAAGGTGGCCAGATGCAGAGCCCCTGAAGTTTTTTCTTGTCTGTTTCTAGGTACTTTTATTCGGTAATCAACAAATCTGAAAATTGTATATTTGAAAAATGTTTCATTTTGTCCACCTTATATTATCTTAACTGTTCCTAAGGTCTCTTAGGACCGGTGTGAACTATACAGTAACACTTGGGAAGTAGACACAAACACATGTCTTTCCCTAACACTGTTTGGAGATAATTGTCTCCATTTATGATAGGAAAATTAAAACATCATAAGATTGAGAACAGAAATGTAAACGTGCCATAGTCTACTATTTGACTGCTTCCTGCACAGTAACTAGTTTCCTGACATTAGTCATGAAAGATAAAACCATTTAAAGTTCACATTCAGATAAAGTTTTACATAAAATAGTGGTGTTTTTTTGAGGAGGGAGGGTAGAGGGTAGTGATTGCAGGCACCAAAATGGAAAGTCAAAAGAGAGAAGGTAATTATGTAAATTGTGTTTCTTGAAGGCATTTAGAGTTTTTAATTCACATACTCTAAGTATCTGAAAGCACATTTAGTTCCTGTTTGGAGAGATGAAAGCCTTGCCATAGCTTCATCTGCAGGCTTGTGGCAATGTTAGTTTCTCCCGTGTGTACGTGCACTGAAGAGTGGAAGTGGCTGAGTGGGCAGTTGGCAACCATTCATTGCATTGATTGCAGTCATTCATAAAACCCAGCGGCACTGAGGGTGGAGTCAGGAGGAGCATTCCCCTGAGCCAGTTACAGAATGTCTTATTTGCATAAATCTTCAGTGATGCGTCAGTGATGAGGGAATGCTCACATGCAGTTAGAAGACTCTTTAAGAGCTCCAATCTGATAAATCTGAGTAATTAAAGACTTTGCAAAACATAAGAGGTCAAATGCTTTAAATTCCTAGTCTCTCAATCCGTGGTAATTCTGGGAAGTCAGCCTTGTGGTGGCGTTTGTGGCTGAAGGAGTGAATTATACCCGTAGACCGACCCCTTAAAAGCTGCAACATACTGAAATATCATTGTTGTGCTTCTTAAAGTATGCGGGATTTATATTATTATAGCAAGTCTAATGCATAGGAGACAGCGGAAATTGCTGAGGTTACACAGTTTCCATACATTAAAACTGTCAAAACTATTAAAGGTTTATCTCTCCAAACTATAATACAGTTCAATTATAATTTTAAAGAAATGGTAATCCACACAAGCTAACAAAAAATCTTGTGAGTGTATTATACTCAGATTTGTCTTACTCTGAGTGTGGAGTACTTTGTTCTTTTTCTTTCTTACATCTAGAAAAGATTTTAGCTAAAACAGAAATCAAATTAGAAAACACAGGCTATCTATTGCCATGATTTAAAATCACCCCAAATTGGGTAAATAATTACCAACCTGAAACAATTAGTTTTCTCCCTTCAAAACACAGATTGAATAGCTAACTACATTGCTCTAGTCTTGAATATTTGTGTTATTTTCCTGTTTTATTCATTCAAGTCAGATTAATTCTAAATATATTGCTCTTGAATATTGATGTGTTTATTTTTATTATTCAATAACACTTTAAAGTTAAAAGCTTTGAATGGAGTTTTTATCAGAAAGATTCTATAACACACATAGACCAAAACAGTATGTCAACTTGTAATTTTAAACTAAAACCACTGGGTACTTGAGATTAGACAAGAATTTTCTTAGAAAGATAGGACTTTTTAAATTTTTATTTTATTTTTGTTTTATTTTTTATTTGAGACAAAGTCTTGCTCTGTTGCCCATGCTGGAGTGCAGTGGCACGATCTCAGCTCATTGCAACCTCCACCTCCCAGGTTCAAGCAGTTAATCCTGCTTTAGCTTCCCGAGTAGCTGGGACTATAGGCATGCACCACACACCCAGGTAAAAGCTGTATTTTTTCTAGTAGAGATGGGGTTTCACCATATTGGTCAGGCTGGTTTTGAACTCCTGACCTCAACTGCTCTGCTGGCTTCAGCCTCCCAAAGTGCTGGATTACATGTGTGAGCCACCATACCTAGCCAATAGGGCCTTTTAGTCACAAAAAAAACCTTTGCTTAGAAACCTACCTTTAGTGCTGCCTAACACTATATTTGTTAGAAAATGGTTACTTCAGCACATATTTTTAAAAACTCTTAAGTGGTACATTTGTTTTATTTGAAAGCACTGTATGAATACCTGAGACTTAAAGGGGAAAAAAAAGGGATGAATCAAGATTTCTCATAAATTTAATTCTTTAGAATTTTTCCAAGTTGGTGTATTTCAGATATTTTCACGAATAAGTCCATGTAGGTTAAAAATGCTGTATATGCTATTTTTAGTTAAGTGAGAATTGCTAAAGATTTTTGAATGCTATGAAATTTAACTTGCTGGACATTTTACCTGTGTAAGTTAGATTAAAATTTCGATGCTCAGAAATCCTAGGACACTACTCTTCCTTAATAATTGCCTTCCTGAATGTTCTCAAGGCTGATGCATGATTGGTCCTCTCACGATACTGGGAAAATAACACAAGGCTTTGTGGTTCCTGAGGATGTCATTGATTCACATCTTTTGACCAATTCATTGAAAGTTTAGCATCAAATCTCGAAGAACACTACTTTTTGAAACTTATCTCAAAGGGAGGGTGTGTTGAGGCTTTAAAATGGCACCGTTTTCTTTTCTTGTCATGTTACATTTTGGTTTCGAAGTCTTAATGACCTTGTTTGGAATGAGCAGTATGTGTGTACACCTTTCTGTGCATTGTGTCCATGTTTCCCTGTATCATTTCTTTCAGAAGTGGAGAAATTTGCCATGCAGTTTAAGCTCTGGGAAAATAGTTTATCTACCATTGCTTCACCAGTGATCCACTTCTGGAATAACATGACTGGCCTTAAATATGAGCAGGGTAGTCAAATCTCCAAGAAGCCTCCATGAAAGCTCTTAAGAACCAGATTCATATTTGAAGCATTCTGGATCCTAAGGGGCATTCCATTTAGCAAAGACTAAGATGTGGGCTCTAAGTTTTGTAACCAAACCATCTCTATTCAAAGCCATGTTTATTTCAAAGCTTTAGAGGAAAAGAAACATCTGAGCCATCCAAATTCATCCTCAGATGGAGATGTTTTCTGACTTCTGCCAATAAATGTCACCAATGCTCTGTAAGCCCTGTTTACGTGAAAGTAGGAATATCTCTTCCTGCTGCCCTTTGAAGCTTTGTTATTTATTTTGTGATGGATGGCTTAAGGCACAAAGACATTAAGTACATTTTTTCACATTTTGGAGGTATCTTTCTTATTTTACACACACACACACATATACACACACACACTTTATATATGAACATTATCTTTGATCTCTTCCTCCCATCTTAGTATGAGGAAATTTTGAACAAGGGGGATGCCTTGAGGCCTCTCAGATATTTTTGTACAAACAGAAAGACCTGTGTGGTGATTGATGGTGTGAAAGAAAAGTCCATATTTTTTAGTAAAATAGCAAAAGCTACAGAATATCGGGCTCAAAATTTAACATATCAACACAACAGCTGTTCCTATTTTTAAGCTTTCAGACATCTTCATGTGGTCACGCAAAGCTTTCAGTAGCTTTTCTGCTATGAGAAAAGCTGCTGACAATCATGTTATTGATGCTAAAAGGAAAGTCAAATACAGAGGCTAGCACAGATTTTATTTGGGTATAATTGAGCTTTTGGAAGCCTGAGTCAAAGATTTCCAACTCCAGGGGCTTTGCTAGGGCCCAAAGGTTAATGTTGAAGGGACTTGCAAAGATTTTCCCTTAGATTGTTTTCCAGTACCGTGTTTAATTTCTAGATGTGTTCTACCCTTTTTATAATTAATAGTGCATTGTGCTGTCTATCATGCGCCCCAGGTGTGTTGTCAGGGACATGGCGAAGCCTGCTGCCTGCAAAACACCAAGAAATGCTGAAAACCAGCCCCACCAACCTACACCGTAAGTATGGCATTGGTTTTATTGACTGAAAATGTCGTCTCTTACGCAGATCATTGGTTGCAGATTTATTCACATTGCATGTAAGAGTAGATACTCTGGCTACTCTTGTATAATAAAAAGGCTACTGTTGAATTAGATAAAATTAGCTGAGTTCTGGATTTATTATTTTTGTTAAGTGATGTTTCTAATACCATATTGAAAGGATTAAGCTAGTTGGAGGAAAGGACAGTTTTCTTAGGGCTCTAAAGTGACAGCAGTTCTTTTTGTTTGTTTGTTTTTTTGTTTGATTGTTTTAGATTTGGAATGTATCTGAGCTGGAACATAATACCTCAGGGAAGTAGGGAGGCAAGGTACAGACAGTGTGCCGAATGGGGCCTGTGTGTATAAGGAAAAGGCATAGGTAGTCCATTATCCAACCTTCACACGCTGTTATTTAAAGGTAATGGAAAATTTTTACAAATGGATTGTCGGCCGGGCACAGTGGCTCACGCCTGTAATCCCAACACTTTGGGAGGCCAAGGCGGGTGGATCACCTGAGGTATGGAGTTTGAGACCAGCCTGGCCAACATGATAAAACCCCATCTCTACTAAAAATACAAAAATTAGCCAGGCACGGTGGTGGGCATCTGTAATCCCAGCTACTTGAGAAGCTGAGGCAGGAGAATCACCTGAATCCAGGAGGCGGAAGTTGCAGTGAGCCAGGATCATGCCACTACCCTCCAGCCTGGGTGACAGAGTAAGACCCTATTTCAAAACATAAACAAAGACAAAAGTGGATTGTTCATCTAATTTTGTTTGCATTATTGCATTCTTAAGTCTAAATTCTAATGATTAGTTAAATGACCAACCGAAGGCATCTCATTCACATCTGAAACTCAAGAGTTGACTGATTTGATTTCTTCTCTACTCCCTGCTTTACCCTTCATTTGGTCATTGAAATGCTTATATATTATATATTACATACAGTAATATATCATTTAGAATTATTTATATTTTAGAATATGAAATTTGGTAAATTTCAGGAGGCTTAATAGGTGTTACAGATCTTACCTCAATAAATATACTTGAATATCATCTATATTTAATTGGTATTTTCCAAGGAATAAAAATAGTTGTGAATTAGCAATAGTAAAAATGATAATTACATTTTAAAAAGTAAAAACTTGGAAGAAGTACTTTAAATGATATTGCCATTTTTTTTCCTGTAGATATTTCCAATAGATATTCTGACTTTATGTAAAGCCATTTTTGTATAATGGAACTTTTTGGATAATTCATAGAAACCTTACATCCCCACTTGACATCTTATATTCTAGGAATTAGAAAATATTTTACTTATTTTAGGATTCAAGTACTATGAGGAATTAAAATTGATATTCAAATCTGTTTATATTCTACATATTGAGGTTTCATTTTAAATTGGTCTCACCTATTCCAAAGTTCATTTTAAATTGGACATTATTGGATATAACTAGCATTTGCCATCCTCCACAACAAGACATTAGATAATTTTTCCCTTATTTTGTTTTCACTTTCAACAGATTTAACAGTTGTACAAATCTGTGGTCACTTTCATTGTACCTAGTGGAAACTTCTCTATGGCTCTTCTGAGTGTAGTGGCTGAGAAGAAGCAACTGTAGATTTTTTGGGGATCCTGCTTTTTGACAATCTCTTTGCTCACTCAGTTCTTTTCTGTTTAAAATAATGAGCTTCTCTGTCAGTGACTTGAAGAATTTAAAGTTTGCTTTCATTCCTTAGGATAGCTGATTTTCTGTAGAGAGTAATGTTTGTGAATGGAACTCTCCATAGCCACATAAATCCCTTTTTAGGTTAACATAGAAAGGACAAAAATAAATTGGAGGGGGTGATTGAGGACAGGCTTTAGCCTGTAGATCAGTGTTTTTAAATTTGTAGTTTGTGATTTTCAGCTGGTCTAAAAATCAGTGGAGGCTAGTGACCAGAACTCTTTCAATATTAAAAGAAAATAAAATATGATAAAAAATATAAAAGTGCCTCCCAGGTTAGTATTTTGGGTCAGAACTTAGATCTCTCTATATGGTAACTGTGTTAAAATATAAAATTTAATAAGCATTGCAGTTAGTTATGAGGATTGCAAGTTGGTTTTAATTAGGAGAATTCCATAACCAGTTTTGCTTTATCTGTAGATGTATGTACATAGATAACATGTATTACTTGCTTTGGCGGAAGTAGGGAAAATGGACTGTAAATGTAAAGTGGACAAAACTAGAGACAAGTAAATCAATTAACAAGCTACTGCAATAGCCCAGAGAGAGATAACAAGGTCTTAACTTAGAGGAAGGGGTAATAGAGGCTATGGGAGGGAGACATTTCGAGAGCTGAGAAATAAAATGGGCAATGCTTGATTGCCAGTTGAATATGGGTTGTAAGGAAAGAGTTTAGGAGGATTACCATATTAATAGCCTGGGTGACTAAGAGCCACTGCCAAGAAATTGAATTAAAGCTGTAAACCAAATCTAGGCACAGATGGTGTATTAGTCTATTTTCACGCTGCTGATAAAGACATACCTGAGACTGGGCAGCTTACAGAAGAAAGAGGTTTATTGGACTTACATTTCCACATGGCTGGGAAGGTCTCACAATCATAGTGGAAGACAGTGGCAGACAAGAGGTAGAAGGTGAAAGGCACATCTTACATGGCAGCAGACAAGAAAAGAGGTTGTGCAGGGAAACTCCCCCTTATATTACTGTCAGATCTCGTGAAACTTATTCACTGTCCCAAGAACAGTGTGGGAAAGACCTGCCACTGTGATTCAATTACCTCCTACTGGGTCCCTCCCACAACACATGGAAATTCAAGATGAGATTTGGGGGGAACACAGCCAAACCATATCAGATAAGCAGTAGTGAGTTCAGATTTTCATGTAGTGATTTTTGTAATACCTGTAAATTATTCAAGCATATATATTTAACAACAGGTTGACTCTGTTAACCTTTAGCACTCAGTTAACTAGGGAAATAGATGACATCACCAAATGATACATAGAATAAAATAAGAGTAAGTTCTAGGTAAAATCAATGCTTGAAGAATGGGTAAAGTATGAAGGTCCCCCAACTCAGCCAAGAAGTAATAGTTAAAGAATCATAAGAATCAGAAGTTAAAGTAGCAGAGGGATTCAAGGGGAATGCCCAACAGTGTTAAATGCAGCAGAAAATCAAGAAATAAGGGATGAAATGTGTGCTTTCGTTTTGGTCATATAGAGGCCATTTACCATAGTAGTTTCAATATGTAAGTGAATGGAAATGCTGTATTTCTGTAGTCTTGAGTGGGAAATGAGAAGTCAGAAAAAGGAGATGGTAAATGTACATGACTTTTTCTAAAAGCTGAGTAGGGAAAAAGAGAGTGGTTGGTAGAGAGACAGAAAGAGGGTGATAGTACTCATATCACTTGGTATATATTATTATGCAAGTCTAGATTGATGGATACACATTTCAATATACTTTATATTTTTGATAACTATGTATATAAACTATCCAAGTGTTCCCTTTAAGTTATTATTAAAATGTCACTCAGCCATATTTTAACGATGCCACCTGAGTCATCATCATTTAATCAAAGTAATAAATATATCAAAATATTACTGGAGTTCAACAAATTGGGTCATATGCCTGCTGTTTCTTGGGTATGAGATAGAAAAATGAGATATATAAATGAGTTAGAATCTTTTCCTTAAGAGTTTCTTCTCAAGTTGCAGGAGGAGAGGATAGTTAGATAATCAAATAAATTATAATACTGAATAATAAGTGCAGTAATAAAAGTGTGTTTAAAAGAGAAAATGATTTATTCTGTTTGGGCTTGATGTGGTCTGGGAAGTATTTACAGAACCTGGAACAGCAATATGGATTTTAAAGACTGAATAGTTTAGTAGGTATGCAAGTTTGAGTTACAGTCTTCCAGAAGCAGAAAACAATTACCCTGAGACCCAGAACATCAGGTTGTGCTGGGATAATTTAAACCATATACTCATTGCTGGACTCTGTATGCATTACATTTTTCTCTAATTTGGTCCTGAGATCTCTCTCAAGAGTGGCTATAAACTCTAGCCCTGTGTCAATGGGGCTTCAGGGGAGGTGGCCATGGATGTTTACGATGTGCCTTTCATGGAATAGTTCTTCATCTGTGTTGCTGGCCTAATGCTGAAGTGACTAACCTGTGACCAAATGCCCCTCTCAAAGGAAACTTGTTCAAAATGGCAGACACCCCTATGGCTCTTAACTAAGCTGTGTCCAATTTATTCCTACCAAGATGCCAGGAGAGTTGGCTAGGAGATCTCTGGCTAGGAGGAGAGTTAGGTTCAGGCATGTCAGTCAAGTGAGACACAAAGGAGGCAACACAATAAAACACATGAAATAACAGAAGCAGTGTGTCACTGACAGATTCTAGCGAGAAGGGGCCAGCATGCCTCCAAGGGCCAACAGGAAGCTGGGAACTGTCTGAGGTGGGAGCTGTCTGAGAAATGTATGTTCAACTAGCTGGTGGGAAGCGAGAGAGAGAGAGAGAGAGAGAGAGAGAGAGAGAGAGAGAGAGAGAG